TTAATAGTGATAATGATATTGTTTATATCAATACTTCAGTAATTTTTTTATGATTACATGATTATATTAACGATTTTATTACATTCCTGTGCGATTCCCGATGTTCTTTTTGATTTCACGCTCGGCAGAGATTTCTGATTAGAATTCAACAAAATTCCAGATTTGTCCGGATTGAAGTTTTACAGTGAATTTATTATTTAGATATAATTTTTATAATTCAAATGAATTTTGACGGTAATAACAGAAAAAAATGTTCTTGTTCATTCTATGTAATTTGTCATTTAAAAAAGATCGAAATCTACATATTTCGCGTTAAAATAATAATTTAAATTGTTTCAACATAATTTACATATAAATATCATTTCCTGCAGCGAGCACTCGACAACTGTAGAGATTTTTCAAGCTAGTTCCGATCGTCAGAGAAAATAAATATTTCCGACAAATGTCCAGTGTCAAGACGTTATCTACGAATCTCAGTTTCAAGAAAAATTTCTTTTCGGTAAAAACTCAAGGCCATTTTGATTTCTTAAACGTTAACACATTCGCAACTGCAGATTACAGATTGCAGATTGTTTGACCGCAAGGGTATTCAGTATCCACGTTCATCTTCATTAAGAGGTTCATCTTCATTATCGGCAGAGCTATCAGACTCTCTATCGCTTCTCATTATTTCGGTATTCCTTCGTTTGAATTATATCGGAGCATCGCTGCCTGTGTCACTATCATTATTGGATTCGGACGACTGCAATTCATAATCAGAGAACGCATTCGCGCGAATGTTATTCACTATCTGTCTCCTTCCATAGTAAGGATATTTCCTTTAAACGATGAATGGGTGGTAAAGAAGATATGTGACCTGATAAAAATTTGAAACGAAAATACTGATAAAGAATTTTGATAAAGAAGAGTCAATTTCTTACAAGTGTTATTATGTTCACTTTGCAAACTTGATGCTGCTACATTAACTACATTCAGCGATATTATTAGTTTGGATAATTGTGCATTACTCTTCATTTGTTTATCGAGTGTTCATATATATTATTAGATAAATGAAAATTGTGTAAGCTAGCAAGAGTGCCAATTTTGAAATGACGTGGGACTACTTTGCTGGTATTTTGGTTAATAAATTTAAAATGACGTAGAACTACGTTACCGACATTCAGCTAAAAGGATTTGAAATGACCTACATTATCGACTTACATTATCGGTCGTGAATGTGTTAAAACGAATGTCTTCATTATGACTTCACGTTGTATGTAGCTGACGTTAATTCAGCAACCTATATACAGAGTGTCCCATTTTAATCTATAAATTCAGTTATCCTCGAACTAACTATTCGTCATTTAAAAAAACTTCTCAAATGCATTTTTTTCTGTTTTAGGAAGACAGTAATTTGATACACTTAATTCGTCTCTAGGATAGACGCGTGTAGGAGAATAATAGCGAAGGTCACTACTATTTTTTCAAGTACAATTGTGTAATTTTCTTTTGCATCGGTCGATGTAGCAGGTCATTCTCTACAAAAAAATATTAACCTATCTACGTTTAAAACTTAAGAGATAATTTTTATAAAATTTATGCGTAAAAGACAAGAACAG